GAAACGAACGACGAACCCAAGATTTTTGTCAGCAGGCAACCCAAAGCCGCGACAGTATGTTTGCAACACAAGCCTTTTCCACATAAAAAATTTGAAAGCATTGACAATTTTACATTGTATTGCCAACATAATATCATTTTGACTTTTATCTTAAAAAAAAACAAATCGCCAAGTGACATTTCCGAAAGCGCTGCCATAGCGGTGTAGTCACTGAACTAATATTTGGCGGGACGTTTGAATCTAAGTTTTAAATGACTGGTTTGATGTAATGAACATTAAGAAACGGCGATACAGGCGCACAGTGGTGTAGTCACGAACTAAAACAAAATGTGGAGGGGCTGAATCCAGTGAATGCTATGCTGTCAAAGCAGTTGTCAAAAGCGTTCTGACTGGTATCAAACCTCGTTAAATAAGATAAAATGTTCTTTTTTTTAATAAAGAAATGCTTCTCACTCCGGGACGATAAAAGATACATATAGGAATATTATAACATAGAAAGAGAATTTTATCAGCATTTCAATGTAATGATAATAAACTATTCATCCCATATGAAATAAGCAAGTTTTTCATACTTTTATGAATCATTCATCAATCATTAGATTTATGAGGCCCTGTATATTATTGCGGCGATTTAGCAACAGACTTCCTCTGAGTTTTGTTTAGCTATGCATCAAATTTCAATTTTTTATTATTTTAAACAAGCGAGAAATCGCATCTTTTTTCATGTAATATTTTTGCCTAAAATTTTGGAAATTAATGTTTTCCTCGATAACGGCAGGTACGTATAGGAAGTCATTGAGAGAAGTTACTTGAAATTAAAGCATAAATTCGAAAATGTGAAAATATACAAGAGGAGTCATTAAAAAACATAACTTTGGGTCACCACTAAAGTCTGTTTGTTTTTTAAAGATAATTCTCCAAGTCAAAAATTTAGTAACTATGTTGGCAACACAAGCCTTTTCTACATAAAAAATTTGAAAGCTTGACAATTTTACATTGTTTTGCCAACATAATGTCATTTTGACTTTTATCTTTAAAAAAAACAAGCTTTACTTATTGGGCCACCCTATATGCCGAAAAATAATTTAGGAATGTAGTAACTACTCATGTTTATCTACAAGTTTTGTATTTAGTTTTTTTTTCGATCTCCATTAGTATAGGAGATATGGACCACCGCGCGCTTAGTAACTCACCCTGTATATTAAAAAAGTTATAGGTTGTTCCCTATTCTTTGTGTCACCCTGTATAAGAACCATAGAGAAGTAGTTTGACATAGGACATCGATGGTCGGAAGTGCGTCGTTTCCAAAATACAGGTCTTCAAAAAAAAAAAAAACAATCAAAGATTGCTTTGATTACGAAAACGTACAGTTGTGAGCATAAAAAGTGGGATACCCGAATGACAGGTCTTGTCATTTTTCGCTATTTTGGCTGAATCAGTCTTTTTTCTACAATGGATTTTTTGTCAAATATGACAATCCCTATCATTGGCGCAGTTATAGCTGATGAGCTTGTTTTACAATAGGAAAAAACTGGTGTCCCACTTTTTATGCTCACGACTGTACGTCGCATTATTGTTTTTTTATTGGTCAGGATTTTTGACATGACATTTTGACATTAAAGTTCATTGACAAAATTAAAGTAAAATATTGCTAAGACATACGTTTAAAAAACCATAGCAATCTTTGATTGGTTTTTTTTTCGAAGACCCAATATCATCTGAAGGGCTAATGCTAGGCTGTACAAATTTTCAGAGATTATTGATGTAAGAATGATATTTAAAAATTCGTATAATGCACCCCCATTTTCTACCTGGAACCACCCCATCATACGAATTCTTAAATATCATTCCTAAATCAATAATCCCCGAAAATTTGAACAGCCTAGTATTAACTCTTCAGATGATATTAAAGGGTGTTGTTTAAATTTCAACACCCTGTATTTTGGAAACGACGCACTTCCGACCATCGGTGTCCTATCTCAAACTACTTCTATATGGTACCTCTATATACCCTAGCATTATTGACCAGTTGAACGGGAACACCCTGTATGGGCTTAAACAGGAACCATTCTACTGGTACCAATAATTTGACTTCTTTATGACAAATCAGGGATTCAAAAAGAATATAGTATATTAAAGTATAAGTGGATATTAAGAAATAGAGCAAGTGTTTTAAAGACCAGTTATCCACGAATACTTTACACTATTTTTTTTTATTGGTACCTATACGTTCAAATCATAAATTACTAATAGTTGTAGAATGCTAAATTCGTGATATGACATCTGGTATACCTTTGTTGTCTGACTGTGTCTGACAAATCAATAATTAAAAAGTTGACATTTAGACTTTACCTTTCTGGGGGTTGTTGATTTTGTCATGGTAACTTTATTAAAACATGCGCGTTTTTGAATGTTGAATTTAAACACGCTGAGGAGTACTTTAAATAATGGCGTTTTCGATTGGTAGATCTAGTGCGAAACTAGTGCATTTTTTTCTATTTCTGTCTTTTTCTTCTACAGGTCGATTAAAAGGATGCAAATACACCCGGTGCGCAATGAGTCTACCAATCGGAAACGCCATTAAGTGAAATAGGTTATTAAAAAAAAAAAAATCTTATTCTATGGAATAAATGTGACAATTTATATTTCAGAAATACTGACGATGTAACATTATATGTAATTATTTTTGTACAGAACATTCTAATTAGCGGTTCATGTCTCAAAGAAATTGAGTGCTTAAAGTTGAATTTGAGCAGATGCTTTAAAATGAAAGACTTAGGTTTAATGAATTATTTCTTAGGCATTTCTGTACAACAAGACATGAACAATGGGATGATTATTTTATTGGCGTTTCCGATTGGCAGATCTAGTGCGGAAATAGTGCATTTTTTTTTTATTTCCATCTTTCTCTTCTACAGGTCGATTAAAAGGATGCAAATACACTGAGTGCGCACTGAATCTACCAATCGGAAACGCCATAAGTCAAAAACAGTATTTGAAGGACGTTTTGGAAAACTTTGACATGTCTGAGTGTAAACCTATAGGTACACCAATGGATTGTAACTTTGATTATGACTCTTTGAAGGTAGATAAATCTGAAAATCATGACATTGAAATATAGGTAGTTTAATGTATGCCATGCTTGGAACCAGGCCGGACTTATGTGCAAGTATTAGTTTATTGCCAAGATACGAAAGCTGTGCCAGTGAAAAATTATTGGTTTCATTGAAAAGAGTCTTGAGATAATATATCAAAGGAACACTTGAACTCAAGTTGGTCTATAAAAAAAGAAGTGACAGAACTCTTTTAGGATTTGCTGATGCAGATTGGGTTGGCGATACTACTGACCGTAAATCAACAAGTGGCTTCTGTCTCTATGTGTATGACAATATTGTATCTTGGAACTCGAAAAAGCAAAGTACTGACGCCATCTCAACTACAGAGGCTGAAATCATAGCCCTAAATTTTTGTGTTAGTGAAGCTTGTTTATTATGTAATATGTTGTTAGATCTGAGGCTGGTAAATGTATTCAAAGTAATTATTTATGAGGACAACCAACCTGCAATTCTGCAACTTGAAAAAAATAAGCGCTTAGATATAAAGTATCATTTTATTAAAGACAAGATCAAGGAAGATATCATAGAATTAAAATATGTTGCAAGCAGTGAACAAATTGCAGATATCTTGACTAAACCTTTAACTAAATTGACATTTGAAAAACTGAGAAGTTTTATGCTGAATTAAGCATGGTTAAAAGTAGAAACTTATGAGTCAATTCTGTGCACATCTGTAAGCAAATCTATAAATTTGTATAAGCCTATAGCTGCCTATAGACCATGTGCAATTTTGCACTTCCTGTTGATTACAGAACATCTTATAGGATCGTATAGGTATATGTCCGATCGGTTGTTTGGCAATGGATCGGTTTTGCAGTATCTACAGGCTTATAGAAATTTATAGATTTGCTGACAGATGTGCTCAGAATTGACCCTTTAGGGATATATAGGGTGGGCTCAAAAGAACCGGAATTTTGTTTTAGAAATTTATAGATTTGCTGACAGCTGTGCACAGAATTGACCCGTCAGGGATATATAAGGTAGGCACAAAAAACCGGAATTTTGTTTTTGAGCTGTAACCTTTTTTGTTGTTGACCAATTTGTTTTTGTTTTGGATTGTTTGGAGGAGAATTGAACAGGCTGACGAATCAAAGTGAAACTTTTAAAATTTGAGAAAAATTCGAAATGGCGGACTTCTTCAAAAAGTATCTAGTTTTGGACATGAAAAGGTGATATTCGATATTACAAAAATTTCAATATTTCACTTAGTTTTCCACCGATTTTTCCTGTCGAGGTCCTAAAATGTTCGCAAAATGATGAACTTTAAGAATTTAACAGGAAAAGTTTTACAGGGGGCGACAAAAAAGTCCCAGCGCTATCCAAAGTAAGGTAATTTTTGAAGGAGTCCGCCATTTTGAATTTTTCTCAAATGTTAAAAGTTTCACTTTGATTGGTTAGCCTGTTCAATTCTCTTTCAAACAAGCCAAAACAACAGGAAATTTCTCAACAACAAAAAAAGTTACAGCTCAAAAACAGAATTCCGTTTTTTTTTAGCCCAGCCTGTATATTTTTTGTTGTTAAAAAGTTTTGATTGAGCGGGGGTGTTGCTGATCAATGAAAACTATCGGGTCTTCAAAAAAAAAAACAATCAAAGATTGCTATTTGAAAGACAAAAGAGAAATGTGTCATGACAACGACAATAAATAGTATGTGTTATTAGTATGTGTTATTGGTATGTGTTATTAGTATGTGTTATTGGTATGTGTCATTAGTTCATTTACATTTTTAGCTCCGTTATCAATTTCGATATTAAAGAAGTTTATTGAAGCACACTGAAGAAAAAGTTGCTTTATTACTACCACAAGCTTCCTCAATAAGAATGGACAATCGCTAATAATTTTAATTATTTTTTGAACTCATAATGAAATATAAAAATTATCATACCTTTTCAGACCGTTATTTCTTAAGTAACTAGTCGAGATTTCCTAAAAAAAAACTATCTAGTTAGCTAGCTGCAGCCAAGGATGATCCAAAACGTCTTCGGCAGAAAACCGCAAATCTGGCGTCAATTGCAACATGTGCTGGATGAGTTCTTTGGCGGGAGTGGAGACATCTTGCCAGAATTCGTCCGGAAAATCGTACTGACCTAAAAATAGCCACCATAAAAGTTAAGCCAAATTAAAACCAGAAGAAATTCAGTTTTACCTGACAGAATGCAGTCAAATAGTTTTTCTTGGTCATTATCTTGGCTGACAAACGGTGGGTAACCGCAGAGTAGGATATACATGATCACGCCAGCTGCCCAAACGTCAATCTAGAAAAAATATTGATTACTTATTTATAAGCAAAATTATATAGTAAAATATTTCCAATAAGAAAGTGTGATAAAATGGGTACCTTAAGACCATAACCACTTTCAGCTAAAATTTCTGGAGCCACATAAGTAGGAGTTCCACAAACTGTATAAAGCGGACCACTCACTTCACAAGCTAAACCGAAATCGCCTAGTTTCAGACATTTAACTTTGCCATTATCCATTTCGACCTAAAAGAAAATTAAAATTACAAAACTACATAGAAACCAAGTATGTTGCCTACTAGAAGATTTTCAGGTTTTATATCTCTATGGACTACATTCAAATTATGTAAATATGCTAAACCAGAAGTGAGGTGCTTAATCATTAAAGCAGCTTGTTCTTCGGAGAATTTTTGAGCAACTGTTATCACATCGAACAGATCGCCACCTGAAAACAACACAAATTAATTATGTCCACTTTTATACTTCAATAATTATTCTTACCAGCAACATATTCACAGACTAGATACAACATACACTTAGTGTCATGGTCCTCTATTAAAGAAATAATATTGGGATGACTAATCATTCTCAAGATTTTCACTTCATTCTCGATCATATCTTCCTGCAAATAGAAAGCATTTAATTGAAGCCTAAGATCAATATCTCTAACCTACCTTTCCTTTACACTTTGATTTATCAATTATTTTTAGGGCATATTCTTTCTCTGAAATCACATGTTTGCACAGCCATACTACTGCGAAATTTCCTACAGGAAAACAATTATAGAAATATAAGTATGTAATTATTGGTGAAACTTACCATCTCCAATCATTCTTCCCACAGTATATTTTCCTTTCATGCCCGAAGGCAAACTTATATTACTATCTAAACTTAATTTTCTTAGCAGGCTTTCCTCAGAATCATATGTTCGATTTTTTTCCTTTTTAGGCATTTTTGGCTTTTGGCCCGTAGTGCTAAAAAAAATCAAATGAAAAAATCTATTATAACACACAACAATAAGTTTTACCCATTTCGTAAACCTGGTGTCCTTTTAAACTGTTGTATAGCTTTACTTTCCTCAAAATCAAGCTCAAAATCATCTGGACTATGCCTCTCGTTACCGTAAATGAAAAATACGTCTTCCGATTCGAAGAAGTGAGGCAAACCTGTTACAGGCTGGCCTATTAGACAAGAAAAAATTAATAAACACGTCTCACGAATATTGAAATTAATTACCTGATACAGTAAACACTTTTCTTACTGCTAACTGTGCCAATTCTGAAAACGCACTTAAAACTGATTCCATACTGGATGAATTTCGTTTGTTTAAAAGTAACCGTAATGTCTGAAAACAGAACAATTTGGATTTGAATAAAACCACCAACAAAGTTATAACAAACTACTGATAAAGACGTGTCAAAGGATTATGTGAACTCGTTAATTTCAACAGAAAAAATATAACTAATTATTTATGATTGACATAATTTAATCAATAATCGACAGTGATGCAAGCAAAAAAATGTCATGTTATGAAGAAATTTGTTTCGCGGTGCAATTTTTCGTGGTATGCAGGACAAAACTGTGGGAATATTTCTAAACTGAATTTTCCACTAAAATGGCAAATTGAAAATTTCACGTTAATTGACAATATTTTTTTGCAACATTTATATAATTGGAAAGTTCCATCCTTTGCAGTTTGTGAAAGTCAATGAGTATTAGAGACAAGAAGGAAGTAATACTGTTCATCAATCAAAAGTATTACAAAAAAAAATCACAATTCTAAGGTCATTAGAATTATAATTAATTCTAATTGATTATGATTTATCGTTAAATAAATAAATAATTACAACAAAGACATATAAGGGTCAGTATTGGTGTCCTTTATTTGATATGGATCACCTTGCATCTATGAACAACAAACGCATATGACAAAAAATAAGATAATTATTAAATATGAAGGTTTCATGCACAAAGCAATTTTTACCTTTCTTGGTTTAATTCCATTTTTAATTATAGTTACTATCCTAGGCCTCACACAATCGGGTGGTAAAATTCTAGGCATACTGCATATAGAGCTATTGTTCCTATTCACCCTCTTTGTCTTTAGTGTGTCAGTTTTTGTGTATTCGACTTTTTTGAATGTTTCTCCCTTCCCGCTGACCACATACTCTTTGCCGTCTTCAAGATCTTCTATACCCAGAACCTAAAAATAAAATGTTTACTTAAATTAGATTCTGAGATTGCACGATTTATAAAACAGGAAATAGTACATATTTGATGAAATCGCCAAATGCTATTTTCCAATAGGTTCCAACGGAAAACTGTTTCTATCTGTATTGTATAGAAATCATTAACATAGGAGAGAAGTACTGAATTCAGTACACACACTATTAAGATGTTGCATAACTTGGATGCATTCATGATACTAAAAGAATTGAAGATCAGAGAATCACTCAAACATAATCCTCTTATTTATATTTTCAACCATTCACTATACTAGAACATTATGCTAAGTTCCTGTTGCAAGATGGTTGTATTCTCGGTACACTCTAAAATCTTGAGAAAAATGATCCTAAAAGCCTTACTTTTTTCATTTTTGAGGTTTCTGATATTGTCAACTTTTATTGATCTACCGATTTTCTAATCAATTTAAGGGAATATGAACCTAAAAATTACACAGATTCAATTCCAATGAGGTGTACAACAGTCAGAACTGACTGATATGAACTAAGAAGTCATCTGATTATATAATTTTGTATATTTTCATATAAATCTCTATTTGTAGGTCCATCGAGTGTATGCCACTAGTGACACCCTGTTTCTGACAAACCCCTTAAACTTCCCCATTATTTATTTATTTTTATTTATTTATTTTATTTATTTATTGACGGGATTACCCCATTAATGTGACAGTTTTACAAAATTTAACAATAATCTTAAGGTTAGCCAGCAATACTATTTGTACTAACAACCAATGTAACTAAATTAGCAAAATTACAACAACAAAAAAAAATCCCTAGAAAAAAAATATAGATATATTTTTTCACCCTATAATAGATCACATTTATTAATTAGACTAATAAATCTACTTTTAGATATCCGTGTAACTTCTAAGTTGTGCTGATTAATTAAAGAAATATACGTGCATATGGGAGAGTTCAGACCAAAATCAGTTCTGTGATAATCAACAAAAAATAAATTATGTCTGAGGTTTCTATTCGGAATGCGAAACTTTATTTGCTCTAGAAGCTGAGGACAGTCTATATTAAAATTGAGAAGATCAAAAATGAAGCGCATTCCAATTTTCAACCTTCGATGCTCAAGAGAGTCCAAATTTAGCATATTGCGTATGTAGTCATATGCATGATCAACTATATGAACCCCCATACGAATAGCACAAAAACGCAAAAACCTGCTCTGAACTATCTCGATTGAAACCTTATGAATTTGGTGATAAGGTGACCACACTATACAGTTATACTCTAACTTTGGCCTTACTAAACTAGAATACACACACTTGGCAGAGGACACCGATAAATTCTTGCAATTCCTAATGACAAAACCTAATAACTTGGAGGACTGTACTATCAAATTATTTATATGGTCAACAAATTTAAGCTCTTGATCGAAAATTACACCAAGATCTTTTACTTTGAATGTATAACATTTGCCTGTCTTTAATATAATAAAGTGAATTTACCTTTTTATTAAATCTGAAAAAACTAATTGTAAAGGACTTATCAAGATTGAGCTTCAATTTATTGACGTCACACCAAGCAACAAGAGGATTTAAGTCTTCCTGTAATAAATTTGCGTCAATAGTGGTAATAACTCGAAAAAGTTTAAAGTCATCAGCAAATGCTGCAGGTACAATATGCAAAAAGTTTTTAGTGATATCATTGATGAATATGTTGAAAAGTAATGGCGAGCAGTGTTCCCCCTGGGGCACCCCAGATGTTGCCATTATATTCTCAGATAGGAATGAACCTTTTTTTTACTTTTTGAACTCGACCAGTGAAGGAACCGCGGAACCACTTTAATATATCCAGGTGAAAACCAAATTTATATAACTTATCAAATAATAACCCATGATCAGCACTGTCAAAGGCCTTAGAAAAGTCAGTATATACAGCATCAACTTGTTTTTTGTCTACCAAGGCCTTCAGCAGTGATGACTGGTATGAAACCAAGTTTGTGGTAGTGGATCTGCCCTTGGTAAATCCGTGCTGAGCCTCATCTAACAGCCCCCGACAGGCCCATGTTAATTGTTTGCATATTGCATATCAATTCATCTAGCAATTTTGGAATCACAGATTGGGTACAAATACTTCTATCATTTTTAACGTTTTGCTTATCGCTATTTTTAAAAATTGGGAACAAGTAGCTATTTTTCCATACATCTGGATATTCTAAACTAATGAGAGAGAGATTGAACAGTATAGTAATAGGCGTGGTTAATGTGCAAACACAACTCTTCAATAGCAACTCTGAAACTCCATCAGGCCCTACCGTGACTACAGAGTCACGGGCCTCCCAGACAGCTGGGAGGCCCGTTATTTCCTCAAAAATAATCTCCGTAGCAAATGAGTGCCAAGTGATCGAGCAAGTGATATTGTTGTTAGGATAATAATTTTCTGTTTTAAGAAGACTGAAAGATGAACTTGGTGAGTAAACTGTGGAAAAGTAATTCCCGAATGCACTAGCTATGACTTGCCCCTCACTCAACAGCTGATCATCATAAACCATTTTTGAAGGCAAATCGTATGTTCCTTTCTGGTCTCTAATAAATTTCCAAAAATATTTAGTGGTTGCCTTACAGCTGTCATTTAAAACTCCCATGTACTGGGTTCTCATTTGATTAGAGCTACTTGCACTGAGACCCAAGAAGAGAGAATTCTTGATAGTTAACATCAGTCATATCATTCATATATTTTTTGTGGGCATTTCTTTTCCTAAATGTCAGTTGTTTAAGATCAGGCGAGAACCATTTTGGAAAGGTATTAATTTTTTATTTTTTTAAAGGTACGTGATTTACAATAGCCTTGTTATTGATCTCATAAAAGATAGAAGTAGCCCTATTATTAATATTTATGTTTGCTAAAAATTTTTCCCATTGTATAGAAGCCAAGAAATTGTTTAAACCTACATAATTACAATTTTTGGAATCATAGTAGAAATTATCAACAATTAACTTTTTATTAGAAACTTCCTTAGTCATAACCTTACAGTTATGGGAAATGTGGTGATAACTGTTATCAAATATCGGATCACTTGCCTTATTAACAACTAAATTACCAATAATAGTAAAAGCCAGGTCCAAGAAAACACCTCTGTCATTTGGAATAGTATTCACCTGGAACAGCTTCAAAAACCCAAAAAATGCATCAACAGTCAATGCATTTGAATTTGCAGGGCACTCCACATTAACACCATAATCATCCTTCACCCATATGACCTCGGGTAAGTTATAGTCACCAAAGAGCAATAATTTACTGTTTTGATAGCACTGTAATATAGGTTGGACAGACCTGTAGTTCATTTCCGATTATGTTGATTGGGAGGAATATATACGCCGCCAATTATAAAACATTCTGACCCAATATTAAACACAAAAACAGCTGTTCAATTTTATTTTCACCCACTGGTACAATGGATGCTTATAAGTATTTTCTAGCTATATGAGGACTCTCCCACCCCTACTTTTCATGCTGGTTTCACTAGATCTATCAAAACGGAAGCTATTATATTTATCACATTCTATTTCACCATCATTTATACTTTCACAGAGATTACTTTCTATTATTACCAATATATCATAATCAGAACAGTTCAACATATTAATGAGGTCTTCAATCTTTGTGCAAAGACCTCCTTCGTTCATATTAAATACAAGTGCAGAGGTGTTTTTTTGGATCAGGTTCAGTACCCGTTGTTTGGGCTTTAATTTCAATATTAGGAAACCCATTTCTGCATTTCAGAGCAACTGATTCGCCTTTTTTTACACGATCCTGGTATTCATCCCTAACCTTCTTATGAGTCTCCTGTTGTAATTTTTTCAAATCCTTAGAAATCCTGATCTTGGTCGAACCAAGCTTGTTGCCACTTTTGAGAATGCTGTACACAACATCTGGACAGGTAAAGACAACTTTTAGAGGCCTTATTTTATCATCTGTCAATCTGCCAATATGCACCATCTTCAATATTTTTTGATTTTCTTCAGCTAAATCCAAAAATGACAGAAGATTCTGGACATGCTCACTGTCATTTTCAATTTGTTCCTGAAGAACTTCTGACAGACTGCGGAATGTTGAAAATTATAATATTGTTGGCTCTTCTAGCACGCTTGTTAATCTCACTTGTGAGATACTCTATATCTTGGGTTGGGGATTTCACATTTGCGTCATAGGTACTCATTCCCAACATAAGAGCCTCCACTTCTGTAGTCAATGAAGTATTATCTTAACGTAGCTGTTTCACATCAGTTGCTAAGCTCTGGATTGCCTTTTTTTCTTCTTTGACACATTCAGCAACCATTTGAGAAGATTTCTTGATCTCAGCCATCTCCTTCTCGATCCCTTTCTTGAGGGGGCCTAGGAGGTCAGTTAATAAATGCTTGAAGATTGATCTAATTTTCTTTTCATCAGTTATTGGCCATTTTCGGTTGACAACAGTTAACACTTTCCTGTTGATTTTCCTGGAGGTAAGTAGCCTAAGCTTGTCTTGCACAGCTGGGATGGAACGCCGAGCAACAGTTTTCACAGTCAAGCAAGGTTTTTACGCCTTTTTTGCAATGTTTGCAAATTTTATCATCCATAATCAAACCTCACATTTGATTTATTTGATTTCTTGCAGTAATAAACATTTCAAGCAGAAAATATTTGCAAAATACACTAAAACGGTAACAACTGTGCTGATTGCTGATATATATCAGATTTAATAATTTTAGATATACATATGATATGATGACCAAGATTTTTCGAAATTTTACTCAATATCCAAATGTTAATAACCTAGCCGTCAGCTGGTTAACCTAACTGAATTTAATCCCAAATCCCATCCCATATATAGTTTTTGAATAATTGTCATCTGATTATAAATTTTTTTATATTTTCGTATAAATCTCCATTCGTAGGTCGATCGAGTGGTGTCACTCTGTTTTTGACAACCCCTTTAACCTTCCCCATTAGTATGAATTAAATCTCA